TCTGAGCCTCCTAACACCCCCCCCCGGCCAAGGCAGCCCCTCCAAACACCCCGGGCAGGTCCCATCGCTGCGGGAGGGGGCTGGTTCTTTCTCCTGATGCCCCCCCCGCCTTTTCTGGGTTATCACGAAGCCGGGGAACGGCTCGGGGGGGGGCAGGTTCTCATAACAGGAAGGAAAAGCAGATGCACATAAATCCCAAACTGATTTTATAAGCGGGGGGGGGGCGGAGCCTGGAAGGGGCAGAGGCGGCCCAAACGCACCCACCCAAATCCATGCGAAAGCACTGGGAGCCCCCAAGAAATGAACACCTGGAATCAGGTGGAGCTGGTCCACTGAAGTCGCCCTTCCAGGCCCACCTTTGCTGCTTGGGCCCTGTGGCCATCCTGCCTTGCATGGCAGAGGTTTCGTGGCTTGCTCCGTGGCTGTTACTGGCGAAACGCCCCTGGCAAACTGGCCTGCTCCGCATTTGCCCCCCTGGCTGGCCTGTTTGGGCCAGCCGCTGGCTGCTCGCCTTGTTCCCCTCTCCTCCTGTATCACCAGTGAATGGTGTGTAGGGTCCCTCCTGCGCCTGGCAGCTGGCTTTCGGGGCCATTTCCCCCCAAATGTGAAGTTTTACTCAAAACAAGAGCTGGCCCATGGATTTCGGCCGATGGCCTACTCCAGAGTTACTGTTTGGGTCTCTTTCCCCAAAGTGTGGCCCCTGCCCTGTTGGGGGTGGGGGGGGGGGGGGGGGGGGGTGGCACAAGCTTCCGCTTTGCCCCCAACAGGCTCATGTTGCTTGCGATATACCAGCCTCACGCGGAGGGAGGGGGTGGGTGGGATGATTACGCACTTTCCCCCCTGCTCCATATTTAGGCAGCATGACCCTAGCGGTGGGGGTTGTGATCAGGAATCTTTTTTTGGGACATGGATGGTTTCACAGAACCTTTCCCCCCCCCACCCTGTTATCGCTGTCAGGGAGCCTCGGGCGTGGATGGTTTCACAGAACCTTTTCCCCCACCCTGTTATCGCTGCCAGGGAGCCTCGGGTAAAGGGGGGGGGGCGGAGAGGTTTTTGCCTTCTCGGAAGCTGCCATGCTGGGCCCTCTTCTGGATTTCTGTCCAGATGAGACGGAAGTTTCAGCGCAAGGGATGTGGCTTTTCTGCCCAGCTCCCTCCTCCTCGCCTGGAATTTGGCTTCTTGGGCCTCCTGGACGTGGCTGGTCTGGAACCTTCCCGGCCCCTTCCAGGTGGCCTTGCAACATTAAGGTGTCAATATTTAATCTTTTTTTAATTTCAATTTTGTGTTCTATAAGAATTTAAAAGAATCATACGGAGGGAAAAGAGGGGGAAAGCCTTAAAAGAAAAGTGTGGTTTAAAACTATGGCTTGGAAGGGCTACAACTCTCATAAACACACTTCTAAGGGTATCCAAAACAGTTGACCAGCTGTACTGATCAAGGTCAACAAAACTGCAAACATTTTTTGTCAGCTAAATGTTTGTTTGCCTTTCATTGAACTTGAGTGGAAAATGTAAAAATCCTTGATGTGTAGGTTTTAAGACTTAATGTTTTCGAGAGAGAGGGAAAACATCAGATGGAAGACTCAAGGACAAGAAGAAACAAAGGTGGCGGTTTTGTAAAGCTGAAGGACAGTCAAAATAAAGATGTTGCTTAAACTAATGATTGCCATCTTATGGAAACTGAATGGGAACAAAATAAATGGAGATTTAAATTGGGCTAGAACACATAGAGTTTCCTAAGGCTGAAAACTGTTAGTAAAAACATGTTAGAAAAGGTTAGTTAAAATAAAACAATAAAAACAACTGGTAAGAGCTATTAATTAATTAATTTTTTTATTTATATACCACCCATCTAGCAACCAGGGCCACTCTGGGCAGTTTACAACACTAAACACAAAACAATGGAATAGTAAAATGGGACATACATTCATGCTATAACTGCGTGGAGGTAGGAGACACAGAACGGCATCAGGGTATTCGTTTGTAACAAGACGGCTTTCTGTTATGCTTTCTGTTATGCCTATCACCAACACTGATATCATGGGGCAAAACAGCAGCAGCAGAAAATCAACGGGCAGTTTACAACACTAAACAGAAAACAATGGAATAGTAAAATGGGACATACATTCATGCTATAACTGCGTGGAGGTAGGAGACACAGAACGGCATCAGGGTATTCGTTTGTAACAAGACGGCTTTCTGTTATGCTTTCTGTTATGCCTATCACCAACACTGATATCATGGGGCAAAACAGCAGCAGCAGAAAATCAACAATGGGACTTTTTACAGACTTTAATAGCCAGGCTGTGTCAGACCTTTATGTAATATTTTTTTCTCTCTCTCTGTGTGACTAACTATGCCAAAAGACTGATTAATGTGTTTTCCTTTCATAGATTTTTGATGTCAAGAACTTTAATACTTTAAGAGATGTATTCTCTGTATTTTGCTCTTTCAAGCCATCTTTATAGGCTATAAGCATTTTAGAATGTAATCGAAAACATTATTTTTGATATTTTATTGTACTTTTATTGTACTGGTCTGGTAGTCCAGATAGGCGGGGTACAAATCAAATCAAATCAAATCAATCAATCAATCAATCAATACTTGTGCCCCAATATTTCGGACTATATTTATCATCTGTATGTATTTTAATACTTCTATATTTTGTATTCAAGTACAACTTAAGTTCAGTTTTCATATATTTAAACAAATGCCTCCCCACTGTATGTTTTGTTAGCCTTGTATGTTTTGTTAGTTTCTTTGTGTTATTGTTTTGTAGGTATTTCTGGTTTATTTTTTTGGTTCTTTTTTGTATTTGTCTTTGTAGGTATGTATGTCACAAAAAATAATAAAATGTTAAAATAAAATAAAATAAAATGAGGCACACCTACAAAAAAAAAGTGACATGTTTTCAATAACTCTTCAGTTTTTGAACATAGAAGTAATGCAGAGGAATAAAAGTTTGCAGCAAGAGACAAACTGAGGTTGCCTGGAATTATTGCACCAATGGAAATGCTTATGCTTTGATACTCAAAGGAACATTGTTAGTATGATCAGTGGTTATTTGATTTCATTCTGGGATTAACCCTCAACTGGGATAAATACCAGCTCTTTGCCCAGGGAGTCGATGTACCTCAGGAGGGCTGCTAGGGGAGTCCAGCGCCCTATTGGGTGGGTCTGGCAAAGGTGTCAATGCAATAGCTAGCAGTACTTGAAGTTTCTCCGGCCTTAGGGGTTGACCTCAGATCTTTTCTTGCCCCAGCTGTTTTTGATCAACTGTGGCAAATTGTGTGTGTGTGCGCGCGCACGTGCACGCATGCATGCACACACACACACTGTTTGCCAGTTTGCCACACACACTGTGTGTGTGTGTGTGTGTGTGTGTGTGTGTCTCTCACTCGTGCACGCACACAGCCCCTGTGGCCTAGGTGGAGGAACGCCCTGCCTATGGGGTGAGGCAGAGATAAGGCTGGGGGCTTATCAGGGAGGCAGGAGGCAGGCACCTCAATCCAGGTGGAAGATTTGCAGGAAAAGGAGGCCACCTTCTGCACTCAGGTACGGGATGGGGGAAACAGGGGACAGGGAAGCTAACATTCTCTTCTGGTCTCTTCTCCAACGAGCTGAAAGCGCCTCGGGGTGGCTCTCTCTGTCACCTCACAACCATGCTGTGATGTCTTGGTCAGAGGGAGGCTGGGGTCAGCCTGGGGTCACCCGGTGAGACTCTGAAGGCAAGTCTCTGGAATCCTAACGGGAACCACTGGCTGGGGCGCCATCCTCATGGGAGGGGGGGCATTCAGTTCCTGGCTCAGTGATACGAACAGGAGGGGGGAGGATGCTAAGGAGGGATGCTTTGGTCGGAAATGTCCTTCGTCTGAACCCAAGTGAGTGGCGCTTCCTCTACGGGGACCAGCCCGCCTTGCTGCGGGGGGGGAGGGGGCGCACACACACACAGCGGGTCTCCCCGGAGCACTTCCATCCACCTCGCAGTCCTGTCCAGGGGACAAGGCCGAGGTCTGGGGGGGCCAAATAGAGCACCGTGGCTGCCCTCTGTCTGAGGTGGGGGCTCTTCACCTTGCTCTGCCCGCAGTGGGGGCTCCCACAAGAGGGTGCCCCATTGCCCCTCCCTCCAGAGCCACAGCCGTCTCTTTCTGAGCCGTCCTCTTCTCTACACCCCACTCCGAGGCTAAGAGGAGCCCTGCCCTGCCCGAGTGATGCCACCGTCTCATGCCTGGTGCCACCAGCCACCACTCTGCACTACCGTGCCTCCCTCGGTGCCCTTGGCCAGGGGAGTCACCTTCAGCCTGGGCTAGGAAGCTGCCAGCACCACCCTTCACTGCCCAGAGGAGGAGGCTCGCGGGGGGGGCATGCCAGGGCAAAGCAGAGGTCAGGCTGGGAGGGAGGGAGGGAGGGCTGCCAGAGGCAGAAGGGCAGGGCAGGTGGGGCCACCTACTCTCACCTCTGGATCGCTGTGCCACTGGAGTCCAGGGTGAGGCCACCAAGTCCTATCCAGCAGGTCTCACCCAACTCTTGCAGGTGCTGGTCGGCCAGGCACTCCTGCTCCCGCCCGCCATCCCCCCCCCGCAGGACATGCCACTAATGGGGAGTGTGTCTGGGTGGGGCACCCACAACGGCACCTGAATTCA